TATTTAGAATAATTTTTTTTATTTAAATTGAAACATCTTTTCAAGTAATGAATTTGTTATAACAAAATCAGAAAATTCTTTTTTACTTAAATACACGTTATTATTAAAATATATACTGATTTATTAAAATACTTGACAAAATATGCATTTAAATTATACGAAATATTAAGAATTATTCAACAGATATTTTTATTCAATTGAGATAAAAAGTAATATTCAAGCATAAAATGTTTTGATAGTTAACAGGTGTCTTTTCTTAGCTTTTTTATTTTATAAATGGAAGCACCGCCCATTTAAATATTCTTTATAAAGTCAGAAGTTTTAAAAATGTGGGAAACATTTTTCAATAAACTGCAATAAAAAAACTAGTTACTTGTTACATAAAATATAAAATATTAAAAATTAATAAAACATTACTCATAATAATAATAAACAAAGCACCATGAAAGCAATTAGTGTCTTCTTAAAACAGACGAGTTTTAACCTCTACAATCGTTCGATTCTCAAGATCTTCCAAACGTCAAATGATTGATACATAACTACACAAATTACCTTCATCTGGCCAGTTCTTGCTGCCAAATTTTGTCTAAACTAAAAACGAAACTTGTAACGTCCGTCATATGCCTCAGGTAAAGTAACACCACTTTCTCGATTGAGTGCACGTAGCGCATGCACACTGAGCCTTCACAAAGGTCGTTTTACAATCGACTATCGCTTAAAATTATTATATACTAAAAAAACGTAACAAATTAAAGCTTGCATAATGAACATTATAATTAACAAGTCTGTCAAAGCGATACGAAGGTTTCCTTCGTGCCGGTATTAGAAAATTTGTATTGCAAACAATTTCTGCATAGGCAAACTCGTACTGAAATTAGCTCTAAATGTATTCGCACGTCTAACCTAACCTGTTTGCCACTTCTGATCTCTGATCACCTATAACTATACAAAAATGATTATTACAACTTTAATAACTTTTCAATTTTATTTAATGAATTATGAAGAAAATTGTAAATGATAGTTTTAGATTTCAATACGAAACAAATAATGCCGTCAAAGTGCAGAATTGATTCTGCAAATTTTATTCTAAAATAAAAACAATACTTTTTATTTTCCTAATGTTACAAAACAAGTCTATTTCTAATACAATTAGCCTCTATTAATATCTATCTTACAGGTAATAAATATCAATCGAATAAAATAATAATCTCATGATACATAATCTATTTCATTTAAGTAATAGACACATAGCGTTACATAAACGGTAATATAACGAAGTACTAAGAATTATTTAAAATGGATGTTTCATTTTATTTTAAATAGTACGAAATTTTATTTGTTGTCATATTTACATAATTATATTTAAAGTAAGTATAAATAATAAATTTTTTGGAAAAGAAACTAATTTCTGATATAACAATTTATTGTTTAGCAAAATTAACAATCATTTGTATGGGTGTGAAATTTATTATAAAATTCTGATGTAATAACAGAAACACAGAACATTTTATAGCGGCAAGCTTAGCCCATTTTCGAAAACCAATTTTTTTACTGTTCAACTTAAACTTAATGTAAATATGGTACAATAAAATAACGTGGTTTTTGAGAAACGTAGTGCAAAATTAGAGCATATATTAAAAAATGAAACTCTTCCAAATTTTTCATTGTAAACCCTTTTTAGTGTTTTTGCATAATAACTCGTTTATAAAAGAGGACTAGATTATACGTACTTTCAGCTGTGTAATTAGAACTTTAAATATTGAACGTGTAGTTCCTCTTATAAAAATGGAAAAATCATTAAAAGCTTTAATTTAGGCCCATTACAAGTATATACGAGTTTGCTGAATATAGAATGGACCAATAAGATTGTCCATCACGTGATGCAATGTCCGCCATTGTTGTATGGTATATTCTAATTTTAAGCTAATGTAATAATTTTATCATTATAAGTGAGAACATGAAGAAACTCACAATATTGATAATTAAATAGAAACAAAATTTAAAAACAAATTAACATCGCCGAAAATTTTCATGGAGGCAAACTTTGGTGTTTTCCCGAGAACTAATTTTCACTGCGTATGCGTACGTAAGTTGTGCTCCATGAACGTAGCTACACAACTCAAAAATATTAAATGCGCATGCACATACGTGATTTTTTCATAAACATACTAAGCTATAGAACTTAAAATTAAGAATGAAATTGACATACTTGTAAAATATTTTATAACATTTAAAAAATTTTATAAATGCATATATAATATACATTTGTCACGAAGTTTTCGAAAAGTTCCGGAGTTTCAACTCTACAATTATCCTCTGTGTCTATGGCGTAACTTTACACTAAATTTGTTTTATTTACGAACACAATGATATAAGTGACTTATTTTTGAACACAAACCGGTGATCTCTTGGGTCAAATTGCTGACGTTGTGAAGTACAGCGACGTGACGATGATTTTGGTTGGAATCTTTCAATGTGAAAATTGAACGACTGATTTACCAAATAAGAATTTCGTATATTCTAATTAATAGTAGTAAAACGTAATAATGCATACCTTTTTCACGCGCGGTAATGCTATTTTAGCGTATACATTGAGTGTTTTGGCGTGTGTAACATTTTGTTGTTTTCTTTCTACTGTATTTATCGATTATAGGGCAAATGCAACGTTAGAAACTGTAACAGTAGCTGTGTAAGTATAATCAATTAATTTTTATAAATATAAATTTGTATCTCTAAAAAAGTAAACTTTTAATTTAACATCTTTATTTACTGTTTATTATCATCCGCATTTCATTATTAACTATACGAATTTTCTACCAGATTTTTCTATTAATAATATTTTTCACTTAAATTATTAAGTATGTATATTATAATGTTTGCAGAATGTTTTATTTTATGTTTTATTTTGCAGAAAAAACGTGCCAGATTATAGTGCATCAAGGGAAAAGAATGATTTGGGTTATTTAACCTTTAACTTACAAACTGATATCCTTTTCTATTTTATAAATTTAAAGATTTTCAATACTTAAATGTTTATTTACGAAGTTTTTTATTTGCAGTGAGAACCAGTAAAAATTGTACATCAAGCGTTTCGTGTGATCGTTCTTAATAAAATATGAAACTTGTGATAAATAACTAAAACATATGGATAGATATGTAGTTTAATGCTTCTTTATTTGACATATAAAAAAATGACAAAACATTTACTAATATTTAATAGGTTACAGAAAATTTGTTGTAGCACACAAAACTCGAGTGTCAGCAAGAAATGTATATTGTTGGCAATGCTGTAAAACTAATGAATCTTCTATCTTTTTTTCTTTGAAAATGGTTAGACACGAAATATTGTTAAAACGGTTTAGTTTTATATGTTTAATAAATAGCTTTAGTAAAATAAAGGAAATAATTATTTAATAAACTACATTAAATTATAATTGTGGAACATGAATTAGAAATTCAACATTATAACAATAAAAAAATTATTGTAAAATAAGTAAAGTTGTTAATCAAAGCAAAAGTATGGTTACATCATCAAAAGATACCAAGAAGAAGACTGCATGTTAAGTTACATGAAAGAATCATCCAATAAAAAGCTGAACACCAGAGATGAAAGATGGATTATTTGAAAAGTTAAGGAAGATCTGAAAAATAGTGCACTTAAATTAGGAGAGTTGGGGATTGTACAAGTATCTATAAGTTCTGTAGACCCGTCCTCAATCTCCTGATACCAATGTAATAGAACATATATAAAATGAGTTGGATAATAAAAAAAAATTATACAATACTACGAGTAAGAAAAGTTTAAGAAAAGCTGTACAAAAGGAAGAACAAAAATAACACCAAAATTTTGTGAAAATTTAGTAATACCAATATTCTGATGGCTAAGATACATTGAAAGTGCATGTGGGTATCTGATAAAATCTTAATAAAAATAATCTATTGAGTATTATATTTGTATACATAAGAATATGTGTTATTTCTTTCGTATGATCTTCATTGATACCAAAGTTCTGTATGTACTAATAAATTTTCTTTAATTTGCTAAATGTTTTTAAAAGTTTGTTATTTTTTTATGTGCCAA